ATTAGCACTGTTTCTGGCACATAGCAGGCACTCGATAAATGTTAATGGCTCTTTGTTCAAAGGATTTTCTTCCTGATCATCTTGTTCCCCCAGTATCAGTTAAACTATGTACATAGCATAGCTTAGTTAACAGAGCTTAATGTGAACAAATTTATCATTTTGAATGGAACTGTGAGTTCTTAAAAATTATCTATTATAATGGATAGCTGTTGCATAGGGAAAATTCAAAACAAACTTTAAGAACATAAAATAGCAAGAGAGCCAGCAAGGCAAAGTAGTACAAAACCACATTTAACTTCCACCTGTGTGATTTTTTTTTTCACCTGTTAAGTTTGAGGGTTGAATGAAATGACGATTAATGTTCTGATATTTAAAGTTTAAATCCTAATCTTTCCTAATCTTCCTTGAGCTTGGAGAGGAATGGAGAGAATACGTATATGTGCCAAGCACTGTGCTAAGCAAGTGTTTTACAAATAGAAGTAGGCACTATTATGATCCCCATTTTATAGTCCAAGGAAACTGAAACAGATTAAATGATTTTCCCAGGGGTCACATGACTAGTGAGTATCTGAGATTGGATCTGAACTCACATCTTCCTGATGCTAGGCTCAGGACTACATCCACTGTGCCACCTAATTGGCTAGCCTGGACACTTCCTCAAAATAAGATTCCAGGAGGAACTCACCAGAGAGAGAAAGGGACTACAGGAGCAGGGTGAAAAAGCCTCAGGACAGAAGGGTTTTCCAAGATGAGAAGACAGCTGAGGGCTAGTTGTTGACTGACTTGGGCAATTCCTCAAAATGAAAGTTCGACTCTATAATCTAGCACACAGTAGGTACTTAATAAATGTTTACTAACTCTCACTATTCCTTTCTATTTTATTTGAACTATTTACTTATAATACATGAATGTCAATAACTATATAAATTTAACTGCAATACTGAACTAAATGAAATGCCCTTGAAAATACAGCATTTTCAGGAGACAGCACACTGCAGTAGAAAAAGAAAAAAAAAAAAGAAAGAACTTTAGAAATTTAGAAAATTAAGAGAGTACTTAAAATTTAGAAAAGTGGAGACAACAATAGGTTGTCTCCACTTTCTCTCTTCTCTCACTCTCTTAATCCATATAGTCTGATTTCCGACCTTCTCATTCCACTGAAATTGTTCTTTCTCCAAAGTAGAAAAAGTAGAGTCAAGAGGAATTCAAGTTGACCTCTCAAAGCCTCATTTTCCTAAATTGTAAAATTAGAGGACTAGTAGATAATTTCTAAAGTTCTTTCCAGCTGTAAATATACTGTCTACCATCCTATCTACATGAACTTTTCTTAATACTACTACTGCTCAAAGAGGAGTTATAAAAGTCTTCACTTGGAGTCAGAAAGTTCAAGTTCTGGCTCTGACACGAACTAGCTATGTGACCCTGGGCTAGTCACTTATTTCACTGCTCAGTGTGGCAAGCAAATCTAACTATAAATCACTTAACTGTACAGGTAGAAGGGAAGTTGACTTCACTACTGAAATTTTACACTTGAAGCAAGTCAGTTTTTGTAGTTTCATAATAACAAAGACACCAATGATTTATTTGAATCAATGTGGCAGAAACAATATCCTAACCCTTCCTCACATGCAGATTAGGCTAGTTTTTCCTTAAAAAAAGCATTTGAGACATTACTTAAGATTTGGTTGACTCAGGTGACTAAGGGATCGGGACTGTTGACAACATTTACTCAGCTCCTGAATATAAAGCACTCACAAAGGACCTCCTTGGGGCCCTCAGACACTTAGCCAGTAGGTCATGATGGGGGCTTCTCTCAGCTAAATCAATCCAAGGGGTTTTCAATTCCTATCCTTGTTGAATATCTTCCTGCAATGATTAAGTTTATCTCCTTGTTAACTGCTGAATGACCTATGAGCATCATATTTTGTTCCAATATGGAACCTAGGGGCAGCTAGGTGGCACACTGGATAGAGCACCAACCTTAGAGTCAGGAGAACCTGAGTTCAAATCCGGTCTCAGATCAGACACTTGACACTTACTATCTGTGTTACCCTGGGCAAGTCACTTAACCCCAACTGCCTTGCAAAAACAAAAAACAAAACAAAACAAA